GCTGTGTGTGGATGCTTTTGTGTCTTTTTCATGTGAAGTTCTTTTTCTTTTTCTTTTTTTTTTTTAATACTTACTTTTGAGGCAGGGTCTCACTGTATAGCCCTGGCTGCCTTAGAACTCACTATGTAGACCAGGCTAAACACAAATTCACAGAGATCCGCCTACTCCAAATGCTGGGATTAAAGGTGTGCACCACCACACCTAGCTAATAACATTCTGTTTGTAAGATGTGTCTGTGTCTAATTCCTTACTTTTTGCTGCTATGTGCCTGTGGCACACTGTAGTTGGAATTTTGTCTGCCAGTAGGAATGGAACATGAAGATTTTAAGTGAACAGAGCAGCACATCAGCTTCTTAGAGAGGGGCCAGCCAGCTGGGGTTTCTCCTTGGACATCACTATGGAGGTGTCCCTTTAAGACACTTACATGGATAGACAGCATTACTGTGGGAAGAACTGAGGAAAAGCTTCACTTAGTGTTTTTGTAAAGAAACTGTAGGTACTGTAGTGAAATGGAGACAAACGATTCATTTCCCCAACTCCAGGAGACATGCTGTGGATTAGGTATCAGTGAAGCTAAGGCACAGACCATGGCTTAGTTTGACTGTTCAGTCTAAATTCCCAGTGTTGTAGAAGGTAACAGCCAGCCGGAAGCCTGGTCTGTGTAGAACCAATGTTCTTGTGACACAGGAGGCCATGGCCAGAAGCATGGAGAGTCGCAGTCACCACTACATCCTGGAGCCTGTGTGCGCATCTGCCCTCCTGAAAAGAAACTGCTGCAAGGAGCCCCTGAGGTCCCGGCACAGCCCGAGGATCGAATGTGATATTCAGCTGGAGACCATTCCCTTGAAGCTGTCCCAGGTACATTTTCCTCCCAGAGGCTCAGACCCACTGCTGGGAGCCAGATAACGGAAACCCGCCTGTAACAGTGTCCTCAGCATTGTTTCTCTCCAGGCCAGAGTATGATAGGTGCAAATTCAGGTGCACCACATGGTGAATTGGGTTCATGTCCACCTCATTTTGGTTTTGATTTGGTGTTATTAATTTTTTGTGACAGGGTTTCCCTGTATAGCTTCAGCCTATGCTGGCACTCTGTAGATCAGGCTTCACCTGCCTCTGCTTCCAGAGTGCTGGGCGCTGGGCTAAAGGCATGCACCACCAACGCCAGGCTTGATTTGGTTAAGGGCTGAGCAAAGAACATAGGAGAACTAAGTAGCCACAGAGCGTGCCTCATGCCAATGCTTTGGTCACTGATTTCACCTCAGCGGAGTGAGGTGTTCTTGTTAGATGTAGGTCTTGACTGAGCCAAAGAACCAATTCCATCGTCATCTAGTGTCTCTTACTCTCTCACAAAGCTGCAGTACCGGCAGATCATGGGATTCCTCAAGGAGCTGGAGCGGAAGGAGAGGCAGGTGAAATTCCGGAAGTGGAAACCAAAAGTGGCCGTGTCCAAGAAGTAAGGGCACCTCTGCATGTTACCCATAATGCACTTTACAGCAGCATGGTTTCCTTACACAGAGAGGAAACATGCCTCCCCATCCTTCACTTGTGACTGCAGAGAAAAGGGCAGCTGGGTTAACTTTGGTAGAGTTTGTTAGGTTTTAAAATGTGTGAATGTGTTAACCTATGAGGAAATAGAAATAATATCTGTGACAAAAGGGGCGTGAAGTGTCTGTTGTCATTATTGCTTATCTCTGTTGAGGTAAGATCCACCCTTAGATCAAGAGTAGTGAAACTCAAAAGATCCTTGGTGTCTCTTAGCAAGCAGATCGCCGTTGCTTGGGGACATTTTGTGTGGGGACATTCTCTACTGTACTCTTCAAACTTCCTTTTCTGTGTCCTCCAGTCTGTTGGGTCCACATTATGTAGGTTGTGCTCTCTGACTTCAAGAGCAAGCATCAGTCCTCTTTGTTAGAAATATATTTTAATATTTCGTGTGTGTGTGTGTGTGTGTGTGTGTGTGTGTGTGTGTGTGTGTGTGTGTGTGATTGTGCATGTGTGTGAGTGCAGGAGCCCACAGAGGCTGGAAGAGGACATCGGGTGGGAAGTAGAATTAACTGAACTCTGGTCCTCCATAAGGACAGCATGTTTTATTTGTTTGTGTGTTTATTTTTATGTAGCCCTGGATGTTCTGGAACTCACTATTTAGATCAGGCTGAGTTCAGACCCAGGTCTGCCTCCCTTGTGCCACCATACCTAGCCTCGGTATGTGTTCTTAGTTACTGCCATCTTTCCTGCCCCATAAACCCTCTTTTCATGTTACAGCGATACACGTGACCAGTCTGACATGCAAACCGTTTTAAAGATCTCAGGTGCTTCTATGCATGTCCTTAGAAACTCAGTTAAATCTGTAGTGGTCAAGTCTGTGGTGACTGTCTCAAGATGGTGCTTGCTGTACCGCCAGCAGCAATGTCCTCCTGGGGAAGGACTGCTCTGGGTGAGGCGTGTTGGTTACCTGCCGCAGTGTCATTGACACAGTGTAATTCAGTGGTCTTTTTGGTGGCAGATTTACTCTTCTACATTTTAATTTGTTTAATGTTAAAATAGACCCAAGACAGAGACTAAGGGCTGATACAAGAAATGTCTCAGGAGTAAGCAGTGTTGTGGGGTTGTCCTGGGCCAAGAGCATCACAGTGTTTTTTATTCAGAAGAGTAACACATTGTCACGGATTGTTGCAGCTGCCGAGAATGGTGGTATTTTGCCTTGAACGCTAACTTGTATGAGATCAGAGAGCAGAGGAAGTGTTGGACCTGGGATTTCCTGTTGCATCGTGCCCGAGATGCTGTGTTTTACACGGAAAGATACTTCAACAAGTTAAAAGGAGGCATGCTGTCTGCGGATGAAAAGGTGAGTGGGCTGCTTGCTTATTATGTTTTCTTGGTTTGTTTGTTTGGTTTTGAGACAGCATTGCATGTGTCCCAGGCTGTCCTCATACTCTATGTAGCTGAGGCTGGTTTTGAACTCCTAATCCTTCTGCTTCTATTTCTGTAGTCCTAGGATTACAGGCATGAGCCACCAGTCTTAGCTAAGAATATTTTCTCCCAGGCTGAATAAAAGCTGAGTCTGTGAAGATACAAAGTTCCTTACTGGAGGCACAGTTTTATAGGCTAGTGTTGGGCTCAGTAGAGTGGGGGCTTCCTTGAAATGTGTGAGCCTCATCTCAGCCAGAAGTGTTTTCCTCCTCCATCCCCACACCCCCTCCCTGAGAAGAGCCATCAGGTAGGCGGAAGCAGAAATGGCCACGACCTTGGCAGACCCCTCCTGTACAGTATGCATTTCTATGCAAGCAGTTCAGGGCGACTTTCATGGGGTCACCAGCGTCTCTTCCAGTCTTGCACCTAGTCTAAGTGTTAGTTGGTCTGTAACTAATTTCTGTGGACTTTGACCTACATTTTCTATAATCCTAGTTGACTTGCTTGATTTGGGGTGGTAGAAGTGAAGCCCAAGTAAGTGACAGGCGAGAAGGCTGGCCTTGGCTGAGTCTTTTGTAGGCTGGATACCTAGAAGCAGCCCTGCGGATTCCTGTCCTGGCCCCACCCCTTCCTGGATCTGTTTTCCTTCCTCCCCCAGGGAAAGGGAAGGAGTGGGGCTGCTTTGCCCCTTAACTGTTTAGCCTTTGTGAGTGGCTGTACTTTGGCTCAGGTTATTTCTAACGGATTGTTCCTCTAGTTGACCTTTATAAGCAAAAAGGAACGGTTCTTCACTGGACGGTCCCTAGGAGCCATGCTTACACCCTGAGTTCTCACCCATCAACCAGCATGCTGAGGCCATGGCCCTCACTCGCCTGTGGCTGTCTCCAGCAGTGCCTGACATGGCTACTGACAATGGGCACCTTGTGAAAAGGGTAGATGACATCTGATATTTGTCCTGATTGCTTTTCTTGAAGGCAAAGTCAGGGCACTACAAGGGAGAATCTGAATCAGTGCTGAGGTGTCAAGTAGCGGCAGCTCCGCAAGCTCTGGGCACATGCTCAGGGTGCTCTTCTAATGTTAGCAAATAAGGCGTTGTTTAGGATGGGTGATTTTACATTCTTAAAAAAAGGGACACAATAGCTGACATGCCGTTTACTGACTAGTGTGTAGAAATGACCACACCGTCACTCACTGTACATATGAAAGAGCTGGCGCCAGATCACACACACCGTGAGATCTGGGCCTGCAGGTTCCTCTTGGAAGGTGGGGACAGTGAAGGGTAACGTGGCTTGTGACTGTGTCAGTGCTGTGCAGAGCAGGCTGCCTGGCAGCCACCCCCTGAAGCAAAGTGTGTTCTCATTGCTCTGCCGGCTTCCACTAGTTCTAGGGGTTTTTTGAGAACAAGTAACCTCTGCTGGATTGTAGGGGAAACCCTGTAAGCCAGAGACAGGGTGTGAGTGGTCACTGACTCTCAGCCTTCAGGGGGTGTTGGGGCTAGTGACTGATGAGGGTGCTGACTTCCTACAGCTCTGCAGTGTTCGGGTTTCATTTTGTCCCAAACAGGAGGAGATGTGTCGGATTGAGGAGGAACAGAGCTTTGAGGAATTGAAGATTCTGCGAGAACTGGTTCATGACCGATTTTATAAACAGGAGGAGCTCGCAGAGGTGAGGAGTCTGTTGAGGAGGGGCCGTTCGGGCCCAGTGCACTCTGAGCCCTTCGGAATCAATATGCGTGCGTTTCTGTCGGACGCATGGCAATGGCAACCTCTGGCCCATCACAGCCCATATCTGCCTCTTTGTGATTACACAGAGTCTTCGAGAGCCTCAGTTTGATTCTCCAGGAGCCTCACCTGGTGACCCAGACGCCAGCGGAGGCAGCGGGATGCTGCAGTACCTGCAGTCCTGGTTTCCAGGGTGGGGAGGCTGGTACGGACAGCAGAGCCCTGAAGGGAAAGTGGTGGAAGGACTGTCAGCCGAGTCACATGAGCACTGGACCCCTGAAGAGATCTTGGGTATGTTGGGAGTCTGTCTGCACCCTCTCTCTCAGCCAGAGTGAAGGGTTAGATGCTAAATGTCATCCTGATCTTTGTGCAACAGTTTGAGAGATCATTTCTAGACTTAACCAAGGGAGATGACATTTGGACAGCCGTTTGTTACTTAGAGGTAGAGGGAGGACACTCCATGGCTGTGGTTGTTTGTACATTATTCCATAGACATGAGTGACAGCCATTGTCAGAGAACTAAATCTGAGCTTGTTCACAAACTCACTCTGAGGCTTGATTCCATCCTAGTGGCCCACTGTAGTCCTGTGCTGTCAGTGCGAAACCATAGAAACAAGGGACTATTTAAGTTAAATTGCATTAGCCACATTGGCCACATGTATCCTGCTGCCTGGTAGCCACATGTGGGTAGTAGCCACTGTCCTGTAGTCACCATGTCTTTGGGTTCTTGCCTGAAGAAGGCAAACCTGGTTCAGCGGCATCATCTCCGTCAGGGCGCCTGCTCTTTGATCTCCATGTTTTCTCTTAAGCTCGTTCTCCCTTACTGTCTAGGCACTGAGGAATTTTTTGACCCCACTGTGGATGCCTCGTGTATGAACACCTACACAAAGCGAGATCATGTCTTTGCCAAACTGAATGTGCAGCTCCAGCGAGGGACCGTGACTCTCCTGCACAAGGAACAGGGTGCTGCTCATGCCAGTGAGAGCGCGTTCATGCAGCTTGAGTTCTCAGGTACTGCACAGAGCCAGCTCTGCCCATCTCTAGTGCAGCACACTGTCTGTTTTCATCACCGGTGGCAGTTAGAGTCTGTGAGAAAGTAGGGGCTGGAGAGATGTCTCAGAGGCTGAGTGCACACTGCTCTTACAGAGTTTGGTCCCTAACACCCTTGTCATGATGGCCCCAAGGGATTTGTCTTAGTTAGGTTTCTATTGCTGTGATGAAACACTGTGACCAAAAGCCACTAGGGGAGGAATGGATGGTCATCTCAGGACTCAAGACAGGAACCTGAGGCGGGAACTGAAGCAGAGGCCATGGGGGAACTTTGCTTGCTAGCTTGTTCCTTCTGGCTTTCTCAGTCTGCTTTCTTATACACCCAGGCACTCTTGGGGGGTCTAGGACCTAGGTGCCCAGGGCTGGCATCATCCACAAGTGGACTGGGCATGTGTGTGTTTGTGTGTGTGTTCAAATTGCATGTAAAATTTACTTCCTAGTGTCAAATAGTTCTCTGTAAAATATAATCACTATTTCTAGACATAAAACACCTTAAGCCTTAAGTCATAATACCATCTCCTGTTTATTTTTTATAGATGTCAAACTTCTAGCAGAGTCTCTTCCTCGAAGAAACTCCTCCTTGCTTTTAGTCCGGTTGGGTGGACTGTTCCTCCGAGACCTGGCTACGGAAGGAACCATGTTTCCTCTCCTGGTCTTCCCTAATCCGGTATGTCCTGCGTTGGCGTGGCTAGCACACGTGGGTGTCAGTGTGTCCTGCAGGGGCCTGACTAACACATGTGGGTGTCACTGTGTATTGCAGAGGTGTGATGAGCACACCTGGGTGGTGGTATATCACTCGTGCCTGTTTTAGGAAATCAGAAGTCCCGTTAACTGGATTGATTTTGACATCTGATCTTTGGAGACAGGGTGGAACTAGGATACAGGACCTTGGTTGACTTTGTTAGAGAGGAAATGTTGGTGACCTATGTGGCTCTGCCTCTTCCCTCCCCATGCTGTAGCCACTATGGAAGTGACTGTCTGCCTGGGAATAGTGCCAGAACACCCTTGCTCTCTGCATTCCATGGCTAATACTTGAGTCTTTCCCATGTCTACCATCTGTACTCAGGACTGACTGTTAATGTGAAGTCTAACCTTTCTAGGAGTCTAAAAGAGAATTGTCTTAAGTCCTTTATTTTTGTTCAGTTTTATGTGTAATATCCCTTACTAGCTTTGGGTTCTTCAGTCCTATTAAGTTGTCAAAGACATAGTCTAAGCTGAATATTTACCCATTTACTCTGTTTGTACTTCTTTTTTAATGTTTTTAGAGAGTGACAGAGGGTGGACTCAAGTTTAAAAACTTACAAATACTTAAAAATCACTTGGCAGTTCATTAGATGCACTGGGAACCACATAGCATGTTGTCTGCTCAGGGAAATGGCCCAGTAGTGCATGGATTCGGTACAACTCGGCGTATAAAAATCACTTGGCAGTTCATTAGATGCACTGGGAACCACATAGCATGGATGCGGTAAAACTCAGCGTAAAGGAGTGCAAAGGGGTCGTGTGTGCAAAGAGGGAGCAAGGTGTGCAAGGTGAAGGGCAGTGCACTATTCCTCTAGCCCACTGAAGCGTCTGTTTCTGTGTTAATAGCAGAAAGAAGTTGGCAGAGTCTCACAGTCTTTTGGTCTTCAAACTTCATCAGCGGACAGAAGTGATCAATACCCTGGTAAATTTTCATATGTTCTTAAACCTAATCCTTACAAGAAATCATTATTACTGATCGGTAGACTTTGATTTCTATTCTGTGCATAGTGGCTTGCTAGGTAGATCCAGGTTGTGCAAGGAGTCAGCCTGGCACTCTCCAGCTGGGACTGTGTTCCTCTGGTGTCACTAGGGTAGCTTTGCAAGGCTCCTGTGCTTTGGTTTGCATTATTAAAACAAATACAGTAGCCTAGCCATCATGATTCCTATTAAAAATTAGAGTCAGGCCTCTAATTAGACTTTATTTTAAAAATCTACATAATTGTGAACTGATTAGAAAGAATTTAGAAAATGTCTTTTTTCCCAGAATGCTTTGTGGACTTGTGTGGGTATGGTGGTTGTTTTTGCTGTGTTCTACTCTTTCGTTCTCTCCTTTAGCTGCAGACCCAGACAATCCAGTCTTTGAGATGCTCTATGAGAGGAACCCAGTGCACAGCCAGTTTGAGAGGCGGCTGCATGTCAGCACGAGGCCCTTGAACATCATCTACAACCCACAGGCCATTAAAAAAGTGGCAGACTTTTTCTACAAGGGAAAGGTTCATACCTCAGGTTAACTTTTTTTGTTTGTTTGATCCTATGTTACCTTTGGAAAAAAAAATCTTCTTTTGGGTCATTGCTGGTGCTCTGGACAAGGTTGTAAGGCATTTAGATGACCTGGTATTGCAGCAAAAGCTGCAGAATAAGTGACAGGATTGTGTGTGGACACTGAGTCGGTGTCCTTTGCCAGTGTCCTTCCCATGTCCCTGCAGGATGCTTCATCCAAGGGCAGCAGTTTCTTTGGCCAGCCAGGATGTTTTAGCTTGATGGACTGATGTGGAATGTTCAATGATTTCTTTTAGATAGCAGCATCTGTTTTTCTTTTGTTTTTCACTTGACTTAGACTGTAGGGCTCTAAGTATCATTGTTGGTCACTTTATGTTTCCCAAGGAGGCTGAGGTGGTTAGAGAAGTGAGCTCACCGACAGGGAGGCTTGTGAAACAGTAACGTTTACTCTGTGTGCATCTTTCCTTCTTGCTCACTTTGATGTTATTTTTTTTGACAGTTGTGAGGCTTTCATATAAACAATAGCTGTGTGTGACCGAGCTGACATTTTCCCCTCAATACAATAGTCTGCAGTTTGGAGTTTTCAGAAATGTTTCTAGGGACTCTAATAAGTTAGGCGCCCTTCCCTCATGTACCTCCAAGCCCTTAAGGCTGTCCACCGTTCCCTCTTGCCTTCTCCTGGCTGTCGGATGGTGGACCATTTCAGAGTAATGAGCTGTTTTTGGCTGGGCAGTGGCGCACGCACGCCTTTAATCCCAGCACTTGGGAGGCAGAGGCAGATGGATCTGAGTTTGAGGCCAGCCTGGTCTACAGAGCTAGTTCCAGGACAACCAGGGCTACACAGAGAAACCCTGTTCAAAAAAACAAAACAAAACAAAGAAAAGAAGACCTGTTTTTGTCATTGATTCTGGGTGAGAGCAGAGTGATGGCTTTTTTATTGGCCTAGCTACTTGCAAGTTCTGACGTCTTGTGCCTTTCCAATCTTGCAGGTTTTGGTTATCAGTCTGAGCTTGAGTTGAGGGTAGCTGAAGCAGCTCGAAGACAATATAACAAGCTGAAGATGCAGACGAAGGCTGAGATCCGCCAGACTCTTGACCGGTTGCTTGTGGGAGATTTTATTGTAAGTAGCCTTGTGTGAGTGATTCTGTTTGGGGATAGGAGAGGTGACTATGATTCCTGACAAGTTTAGGTAGACTTGCTCGTATCAGTTATGCCAGCTAGGTAAGGAAATCCATAGTTATATCTAGCTAACAAGCAGCCCATGTCTTTCCCATTAGTGGTTAAATTAAGGAAATGAACAGTGTTGACCAACCAGATCATGTTTTCCTTGCTCTGAGGGCACTTTCTAGGCTTGCCTGGGTGCTTCTCCAGACCTAATCTGCTGGTAGTTCCCAGAAGAACCTTCCTCTTACTGTTATCAAAGGGTATTCAGTAGAACAGCGTTCCACTTGTGGGGTGACTTTGTGTGGCTAGAGAGAGCCAAGAAGCTGCTGAATTGTCCAGAAAGGGAGTTTCTGACCATGTGTGTGGTAGTGCACTGCCCAGGCATGGCAATAGATGGCGCTGTTAGACAAGTGTGGCTCTGTGACACCCCTCCCTCCCCATAGAACCAGTTGTGGATAGAAGGTTGGCAGAAATGTTCCAAGTCAAATGCCTAAAGACTTGTTGTGGTGGGGGTAGGGAGGTGGGGAATTAGTCTTGTTTTTCTGTGGGGTGTGTGTGTGTTTCAGCATCAATATAGTTATCAGTGCCTTCCTGTTACCTTCAAAAAAAAAAAAAGAGGGTTCTTTCTTTTTTTTTCTAATTTTTTCTACATTTTTTTGCCTATAATTTATTTTGATATATTCTTTCCCCTCCCCCAACTCCTCTCAGATCTGCCCACGTCCCTACCCATCCAACTTCATGTTATTTCTGTCTCAAAACAAAGTAAACCCAAACAAACATGAAAATTAAAATAAACAACCCAATAAGACAAGACAAAGCAAAGCAAGCACACACACACCATGGAGTCTGCTTTGTGTCGGCTCACTGCTCTTGGGCGTGGACTACCGTGGAGTGGGTGATGTAGTCCGTGATGCTCCCCTAGAGAAAACTGATTCCCTGTTCCCAGCAAGCATCAGTCGAAAGACAGCTTCCTGGTCAGGGGGTGGGAAGGCTCAGCAATGGGCTTGTCTGGTTTCTACCTGTGCAGGCAGGTCTGGTGGGCACTGTCACAGTCTCTGTGTGTTCCTATGTCGGGTAGTCCGTCGTGCCTGGAAGTCTGCCTCCTTGCAGTCACCCGCCACTTCTTTCTCTCTCAGTGTTTCTTCTGCTTCCTCCTCCACATAGGTCCTGGAGTCTTTGGGGAGGGGTTTGGTGGAGACATCTTCTCTAGGGTTGGATGCTCCAAAGTCTCTCACTTCTTGCACTGTCCTGTTGTGGGTCTCAGTGCTAGTTACCGTCTATGCAGTGCAGTGTGACATTAGGTGTCATTGCTGTGTTCCTCTAGCAGAATCCCTTCGCCTTTACCACATACATGTAATTACAGCCAGTTTTAATCAGAAAGAACAATTATATTACAAATACTAGAATGTATATTTCCCTCAAGATACTTTAGCATGAAAACTTATTTATCTATTTATTTAGGCTTTTCGAGATAAGATTTCTCTGTGGACAGCCTGTCCTTTGTACTCACAGAGATCCACCTCCCTCTGCCTCCCAAGTGGCGCGATTAAAGGAGTGTGCCACATGTCTGGTGAAAGTTTATGGTTACCTGTGTCTATAAGTAAATAAAAGTATTCTGATTTCAACGTTAGTTTGTATTTCATGATTTCTATGATGCTTTGAAGTCTTAAGCCCTCTTACCCTATGGATCATCAGTTAGTACAAACAACTCCTCAATTTAGTAATTTGCTAACTTTTTCTCTCTATTTCACACATCAGCCTGTGGTAATGTTGCCAGCCAACAAGTGTAAGTGTCTTGTGTTGCAGTCCTGAGGACTGGCATCCTGGCTGGGGTTTCGGGAATGTTTAGAAACTTCCCGAAAGCTGCTTAGCAGTCACAGTTAGCAGTGATAAAATGGAGTAGCCCAGGCTAGCCTTGAACTTTGGTCCTCCTGCCTCCTGAGTTCTGGGGTTACAGCTCGCTTACAGCTGAGTTTTATTTTGCCTTTACAGGAGGAAAGTAAGCGGTGGACTGTTCGGCTAGACATTTCTGCCCCTCAGGTGATATTTCCGGATGATTTCACCTTCAAGAATCCTGTGCTGGTTGTTGTGGATCTTGGAAGAATGCTGCTGACCAACACCCAAGGTAGAGTGTCAGTGTGAGGTGGCAAAGATCTGTCTCTGCGTTGTAAAGCTGGGCAGGGCAGGGTTTTCATAACTTTTTTAAACTCTAAAGTTTGGGGTTTAGAGAGGTGCTTAGTGGTTAAGAGCACTTGCTGCTTTTACAGAGGACCTGGCTTCAGTTCCCAGCACCCACATGGTAGCTTACAGCCTTCCTTAATTCTAGTTTCAGGGGGTCCTACATTCTCTTCTGACTTCTCTGGGTACCAGGCATGTATGTGGCGCACAGACACGCACTCGGGCAAAAATGGGAAAAAAACCAAATAAAACCCTCAAGTGCAAAGTCCACTAACCCATCCCTTTGCTGCCTGCTCTTTAGGCTGCTACGGTCCCTCTCTCTCCCTCTCTCTCTCTCCCTCCCTCCCTCCCTGCCTCCCTCCCTCCCTTTCTTACTGTTTTTCTTTTTTTTTATTTTAAAAATTTATTTATTTATTACGTATACAACATTCTGCTTCCATGTATATCTGCACACCAGAAGAGGGCACCAGATCTCATAAGGGATGATTTTTTTCCACCTTCACATTGCTGTGAATTGAACTCAGGACCTCTGGAAGAGCAGCCAGTGCTCTTAACCTCTGAGCCATCTCTCCAGCCCTCTTATTGTTTTTCAAGACAGGGTTTTTCTCTGTAGCTTTGGTTCCTGTCCTGGAACTCACTTTGTAGACCAAGCTGGCCTCGAACTCACAGAGCTCCTCCTGCCTCTGGAATGCTGGCATGCGCCACCATGTCAGGCTCATGCATTGCTTTAGTAATAAGGAGATAAAACTCACACTGCAAAATGTGCGGTTCAGCCAGGCTGAATCTAAACCCAATGGTAGTCTCTTAACACCTCTTCCCTGGCAACCAACCTTGATCTGTTTTTCTTCTCTTTTCTTTTTTTTGCTTATATATTTGTCTGTTCTAAACATTTCATGCTTGTGGAATATTTGAACACATTGCCTTTCATGTCTGCCTTTTTAATTTGAGTACTTTCAAGGTTCATCCATGTTGGTGTGTGTGTGTTATCACATTCCTTTTTATGGCTTTCTAGTCCCTTAATGGATATACCAGGTTTTATTTATCTGCTCTTTGGTTAGGAAACATTTGCAACAGCCCCACCCTCGCACCCTGCTGTTTGAGTAACCCGCTGCCTATAGTCAGGTCATGTGTTTGTGGAAGCATATATTTTCAGTTCTCTTACATGCTCTCCCTGGAGTGGGGGGTGCTGGACCATGTGGGAGCCTTATGCTAACATCTCTAGGGACAGGGTTACTTTCCTGAGGAGTGGCTTATGTGCCCCCTGGTTTCTCCACATCCTTCTTGTCACTTGTTACCCGACCATTTGATGGCAGCCGTCTTGGGATTGTGAAGGAGTATCTCACTGTGGCTTTCTCTGTCTTTCTATGTGACATTGTATATCTTACTACACATTTCCTAATGCTTAGTGTTAGAGATAGAAAGTTAGCTTTTTATTTTTAAAATGTTATTTACTTATGATTATATGTATGTGTGGGCATGCATATCATTGCACATGTGGCACTAGGGACAATGTTGTGCTGTTGGTTTTCTCCTTCCACCTTTATGTGCCAGATAAGGATTTTCTATAGAACAAGAACAGAAGAGAAAGAAACACTACGACAAAGGGAGACGTGTGTAAGTTTGGAGAGTGCCATAAGAGAGTTGTGTCAGCAGCCCTGCCAGTGACAGGCACAAAGACTGTCAGTAGCTGGTGGCCTTAGCATCTCATTATTTAGGCCTGGTAGGCCTGGAACTTACTATGTAGAAAGGCTGACCTTCGACTAAAGAGGAGTGATCTCTGCCTTCCTGTGCCTCTGAAGTACTGAAATATTTCTTATGATAGAGTTCTCATATATGTATGTCTACAACTTGTTGAGATTTTTTTTTTTTTTTTTTTTTGAGACAGGGTTTCTCTGTGGCTTTGGAGGTTGTCCTGACATTCGCTCTGTAGACCAGGCTGGCCTTAAACTCACAGAGATCCACCTGCTTCTGCCTCCTTAGTGCTGGGATTAAAGGCATGTGCTACAAATGCCCAATGAGATTCTTTTTAAAATTTATTTTTTAATATATATGTGTATGAGTTTATATGTACCATATGTGTGCAGGACCCTGAAGAGGCCAGAAGAGGGCATCTGTTTCTTTGGAACTGGAGTTACAGGTGGTCATGAGCAGCCGTGTGGTTGCTCAGGTGCCCCTGAGCTCCGGAGCTGTCTCTTCATCCCTCCTTATTGTCATATGGCAAGGAGGGAGGGAAGACATAGTAGAGATTTTACTTACTGTCTTTTCATTTTCTCTTCTTAGAAGACTCTAGGAGGAAAAGTGGAGATGGGTCCGCTTCTGAAGAGAATCAGTTCAGTGACGATGAGTATAAGACTCCACTTGCCACACCTCCCAGCACCCCACCTCCAGAGACCACCAGCAGCAATGGGGAGAAAACACCGCCCTTTTCCGGAGTGGAATTCAGTGAGGAGCAGCTTCAGGCTCATCTGATGAGCACACAGATGTACGAGAGGTACTCCTTGACGTTCATGGACCTCCAGGTCATGGTGGGGCGCGTGAGAGACAACTGGAAGCGTGTGCAGGACATTGATGTGGGGCCAACACATGTGGTGGAGAAGTTCAATGTCCACTTACAGTTAGAACGCCGGCTGATTTACACGTCAGACCCCAAGTACCCTGGGGCTGTGCTGTCAGGCAACTTACCAGACTTAAAAATCCACGTCAATGAAGACAAGATATCTGCTCTAAAGAACTGTTTTGCTCTCCTCACCACACCCGAAATGAAACCCCCTGACACCCAGATCAGAGAGAAGATTTTCCCCCAGGAAGGACCGAGGGGAAGCTTGCAGGACTCAGTAATGAACTTGACCCAGAGCATTGTGATGCTGGAGCAGCACACACGGGAGGTGCTGGTGGAGTCGCAGCTCCTCCTAGCGGAATTCAAGGTGAACTGCATGCAGCTTGGTGTGGAGAGCAGTGGCCGCTACATCTCCGTCCTCAAAGTGTTTGGCACCAACGCCCACTTTGTGAAGAGGCCGTATGATGCTGAGGTCTCCTTGACTGTTCATGGGTTGCTCCTGGTGGACACCATGCAGACTTATGGTGCTGATTTTGACCTTTTGATGGCTTCACACAAGAACCTGAGTTTTGATATTCCCACAGGAAGCCTCCGGGATAGCAGGGCACAGTCTCCTGTCCCTGGACCTAATGTGGCCTTCCTAACTGACATGGCAGCCCTCAACAACCAAACGGCCACTAGTGTTTCCCTGGAGAAAATCCTCACCAAAGAACAAGAGTCCCTCATTAAACTGGAGTATCAGTTTGTGAGTTCAGAGTGCCCGTCCATGAACTTGGACAGCACACTGCAGGTGATTTCCCTGCAGGTAAATAACTTGGACATCATCTTAAACCCAGAGACAATTGTGGAGCTCATTGGCTTTCTTCAGAAATCCTTCCCTAAGGAGAAGGATGACATGAGCCCTCAGCCTCTGATGACGGACCTTGAAAGAAACTTCCAAGAACAGGGCACGATGCAGTCGACTTACGAGCAGAACACCGAGGTCGCCGTGGAGATCCACAGACTCAACCTCCTGCTGCTTCGGACAGTGGGGATGGCCGACGGGGAGAGGCAGGGCAGGAAAATCGCAACGGCCAGCATTGGAGGCACCAAAGTGAACGTGTCGATGGGCAGCTCATTTGACATGAGCGGTTCTCTTGGCTGTTTGCAGCTCATGGATCTGACACAAGAGAACGTGAAGAACCAGTATGTGGTCAGCATCGGGAACTCCGTGGGCTACGAGAACATTGTCAGCGACATTGGCTATTTTGAAAGCGTTTTCGTCAGGATGGAAGATGCAGCCCTGACGGAAGCTTTGGGCTTCACGTTTGCCGAGAAATCAAAGCAGGAGTGTTTCCTGAACCTGAAGATGGCGTCCTTGCATTATAACCACTCTGCTAAATTCTTGAAGGAGCTGACGCTGTCCATGGATGAGCTGGAAGAGAATTTTCGCAGTATGTTGAAAAGTGCCGCCACCAAAGTCACCACAGTATTAGCCACGAAGACTGCTGAGTACAGCGAGATGGTGTCGCTCTTTGAAACCCCGAAGAAGACCCGGGAACCCTTTGTCTTGGAGGAGAGCGAAATCTATGGGTTTGGTCTTCCTTCCCCTCGATCGGACACTGTGAAGCTCATCTTGAACATAAACATTGAGTCTCCAGTTGTCTCTATCCCTCGGAGGCCTGGGAGCCCCGAGCTGCTGGTGGGACACTTGGGACAGATATTCATCCAGAATTTTGTGGCAGGAGATGACGAATCCAGAAGTGACCGGCTGCAGGTGGAAATCAAAGACATTAAACTCTATTCTTTGAATTGCACTCAGCTGGCAGGCAGAGACAGTGCTGGGCCTGAAGTCACCCGGACGTTTTGCCCGCCCTCTGGGTCTGCCAGTGCCACCAGTCAGGAGGAGGCTCACTTCACACGACATGATTTCTTTGAATCTTTGCATAGAGGCCAAGGTGAGAGGCAGTATGGGTAAAGGTTCTCAACCCAGCTGCTGTGTATGTGTCCTTGAAAACAATACAGCCCCTCTTAGGGTTATCTCTGGGTAAGGTGTGAAAAGTCATAGTGGTGTTTTAACAGCATCGAGTCTCTCTTTGGACAAACTAAGAATGTACCTTTAGTCCCAGCACTTGGGAGGCAGAGGCAGAAGGATCTCTCTGAGTTCGAGATCAGCCTGGTTTACAGAGCTAGTTCCAGGACAGCCAGGACTGTTACACAGAAACCCTGTCTTGGCTGAGTTCGAGATCAGCCTGGTTTACAGAGCTAGTTCCAGGACAGCCAGGACTGTTACACAGAAACCTTGTCTTGGAAAACAAAACAAAACAAAACAAAACAAAAGAAAAGAATGTACTTTGAAGTGTTGCCCTTTGAAGCTGGCGGAGTGCTCCTTCCCAGAGCTGCTCCAGTGGACAGATGTAGTGTGACCTCATTTTGTATACTTATTTCTGTTCTTTTGCTCTAAGCCGTATTTTCTTAGTTAAATATTGCTGCCTAAGGTAGAGCAAGAGGATAATGTAAACAGAAAAGGAAACTTGGTCTCTGGGTGTTGGGCTCTTTCACTGCTCTGGCATCTTCTCATTGGGTCAGTGCAGGGCTCAAGGAATGGTGATGTTTCCATGTTTGCGGAATGGTGTTTTCGAGTTTGTACTCTGGATGTGGACAGTTAGATCCAATCAGATCCAATCAGTTCTCCTGTAGATCGAGGGAGGTTCTGGAGACTGTTCAATGGTGAAGAAACTAATGCCTTTGAAAACATCTGTGGTTCTCAGAAGGCCTTCACTGATTGATTCCTCTGAAATTTGGAGAGCCATCCTCTGGCCTCAAGTGTGCTAGGTGTGTGCTCGGCTGCTCCTTCATTTCCATGCTTAGCACACAGTTCTTAGAAAGCGTTCAGTTGGAATGATGATGTCTTAAGGCCTAACGAGAAGGCTGTGTTTATATCTCTGAATGCTAAGGAAGGAGGAAGTCGGGTTTGGAAAACTGGCTTTTATGGCTAAGAGAAATGTAAGGCAGTCTGTGGACTGACATAGTGTTTCCCACACGATATACATTTTAAATTACATTTATTTGTTGTGTGTGGGTGGGCATATACACACTTGCATGCACACTACAGTGCTGAGTGTGGAGGTCAGAGGGCAACCCATGGAGTTGGTCCTCTTCTTTAGCCATGGGAGGTTCCAGAGATCGAAATGAGGTCGTCAGACTTGGCAGCAGGGCCATTTTGTCAGCCTTACTACTTAATATTTTGAAGCCGCCAAGCAGAAAATATCATGAAAATACCTTGTTTGCCCTCTTGTAAACTTGTCTTGAGGTTCTGCTTGCTGTGAGTTTTGGTCTCATTCATAGACTTAGTTGCCAGGCCAACCCACCATTAGATAACCCCTGGGCTTTATTTTATATACAGGCTACTTGATCATCAAAAACAAACCAGATAGTAGTGTTCATGGCCTGTCATTTGTTCCCTTCTGCCAGCCTTTCATATCCTGAACAACACCACCATCCAGTTTAAACTGGAGAAGATCCCTATCGAGAGAGAGTCTGAGCTGACTTTCTCCCTCAGTCCAGATGACCTGGGGACAGCCAGCATCATGAAGATTGAAGGAAAATTCGTCAACCCAGTTCAGGTAAACTAACACAGGATTGAGTATCAGGTCAGGGCAGCTGAGAGCCAATCAGGTTGTGTTCCTTGTCTGAGATGCCGGAGATCTGATGCATTTTAGCTTTTGGAACTTAGTGCATTCAGGACATTTATAAGCCCTTATGACCAGTCAAGCATCTCTGATCTCTAATTTGAAGTCTGAAATGATCTTAAGTTGGAAACCTTTGAACGTTGGGGTTGTATCAGCTATCAGAAAGCTTCAAATTTCAGGGGTATTTGGATTTCAGGTTAGGGGCATTTAGTTCATCATTGTTTATTTAAGTTTTATTTTATGTGTGTGAGTGTTTTGTGTGCGTGTATGGAGTCCACTGTGTATTTGTCTGGTGTCCAAGTAGGCCATTTGAGGGTATTTGATTCTGTAGAACTAGAGTTACGGGTGATCGTGGTTGCGGGGAATTGAACCTGGGTCTTCTGTAAGAGCAGCCAGTTCTTCTGATTGCCAAGTCATCTCCTCAGCCCCATCCATATTTATTTTGTATTATATGTAGTACTCGGATTATAATGGTATATATTTATGTATATTAAGCATTAGAAGAAAAATATATTAGTTCAAGGAAATAATCACCAGTGCATGTTCCTGTTGCTGATGACTTGTTCTCATAGACATGGAACAGCTTTGTAGCCCAGGCTGACTTTCAATTCATAATCCTCCTGACTCAGCCTCTCAAGTACTTGGATCCCTCAGCAGCATGGGCTCCTTTTGTCATGTGACTTTGTCCCTGGAAGTGGCTGTCTTCCTGTGCCACGGAGGAAGATAGTGGATCTCTAATCCCATGCCCAAAAGCCAGTTGCTCTTTCCCAGGAAGATGTCTTTCTCACCACCCGGGGACACACTTGGACTAGACTGCAGAACAGTGTGCTTTGAGCCATTGACAGATCTTTTTGATAGAGTTAGGCTTGTCCTCTCTGGATTGAATTGGGTCAGATAGGACACACACAGGTGTAATTGTGTTTTCTAACTGTGTGTGTATTTATCTTTTCTCCTTCATAAATGACTTTTTTTTTTTTTTTTTTTCCTTTCCAATTTCACAGGACTAGGAGAAAAGAGTAAGGTTAAGAAAACATGTGTACTCAGGATCTCAGGACAGTTGACCCTCTGTCAGGCTGCAGTTGGTCTTGAGTTTGTCTTTCAGTTGCTCTGAAGTGACCCAGGAACATGTATCGAGGTCTCTGTTGGTGTCAGTGGCTCCTAGATGTAGGTCTTGGGGTGAGAAACCTTCCCCCACTGCTCACTGTCTTTGTGTCTGTGTCTGTCTGTCTCTCTCTCTCTCACATACACACACAATTAGATTTTTTCTTCTGTATGTATGGGTGTTTTACCTGCACGCATGTCTGTGCACCACATGTGTGCCTAGAGTCCACAGAAGCCAGAAGAGGTCATCAAATCCCTTGGGACTGGAGTTACATATGGTTGAGAGTTTGGGTGCTGACAAATGTACTTGGGTCCTCTGTAAGAGTATCCAGTACTCTAAACCACCGAGCCGTCTCTGCAGTTCCCCGGCCCCATTTTATTGAGACAGGTTGGCTTCTAACTTGCTGTGTTGCTGAGGAAGACCTTGAATGTCTGATTCTCCTGTTTCTACCTTCCAGTACTAGGCTCATTTTTCTTTTTTTTTAATGAAATGTTTTGGGGCAGGGCATGTGAAATGACTCAGCAGGTGAAGTGCTTGCTGTGAGAGCACTATGACTCAGCTTCCATCTCCGGAACCTACATAAGGGGAAGGAGAAAATCAACTTACTGTGCCGTGACTCTACACCTGCTCTGCACACACGTACACTGCACACACAAGGATAGCAAACATTACAAAAATCATTATAAGGCTTTTTTTCACTTCGTCTTGTATATTTGGAATGTGTTCTTTGAGCTGTGTGTCGTCCTATGTATTGCAATGGCTTTTGGTTCTTAAGAATATCTTCCCTTTGGTTTGTTTGCATTGGGATCCAAGCAAGGTCTGCAGCAGATTGCAGTTAGGTGCTGTGTCTTTAGGTCTCTCTGGGTCTGCCCCGCCCTATCTGCCATGTTCTAATTCTGTGTGGACACTGGTCTGTTGCCTACAGGATGTTGTACATGGTACACTGGCTGTTGTTTGTGTCTTTCCGAATGTATTCCTGCCATGAGCTACACGGGCTTCTCTGGACTCTGGGTCTTTTCTTGGCTCTGCTTCTCATTTGCCTAGAACTTCCCAGGTGCTGTCATGTGCCTCCGGTTACAGCAGATGTGTCACACAATGTCTGCATTTGATGAGGGTGTGTAGGTGGAAGAGCCTGATCTCTCACTTGCAAAATTCCCTGTCAGTCATTCCTGTTGCTTCATTCCACTGAAGAACCCTGTGGGGATGAAGATTAAATTAGGGGTTATAGAACGGTCACTTTGCAAGTCTGTCAAAATTTCTGTGTCTTTGAGTTGGAATCGCTTTGTTAATTGCCCTTAATTAGTAAGAAAGATGTACTTGAAAATATTTTTAAATAAGAAATTCTAACTAAAAGAGGGTAAGAAGCTGGGGGTGCAGCTCAGTGACAGTGTTTGCCTACCATGCATAGGGCTCTGGGTACCACCCCAGCCCCAACAATGGAAGCTGAGGAAAAAACATATAATTGCAGATTGGCACCTTTGTTAGAAAAGTCTTGTTTTTCGGTCCTGCGCTGTGCCCACTTAGACCTTTGGAAGGTTCCTTCTTGCTTTCTGCAGCTATTTTGTGTGGTTAGAAAGAGTGGCTTAGCTGACTCGAGCATACGGGGAATGCTTACTGAATGTTGATGTGTGCAGATTGTTTTACAAGGGGCTAGGGAGAGCCTTGTTAATGGAAGTGAACGGAAGGAAGCAAGGACAGAGAAGAACTGATGATCTTTGGTACCAGCTAATGGAAAGCCTCTTGGGAAACAGAACCTCCAACTGGGAGTTTAGGCGCTATGTGGTAAGAGTAGAATGTGAGGGGACTGGAGAGACGGCTTGCTGGCTAGGGTCACTTACTGCTCTTCTGGAGGACCTGAGCTAGGGTCCCAGCATTTTTATGTTGGGGGGCTGCCAGCCGCCTGTAACTTCAGCTTGGGGTGATGTGTATGGGGGCAGGTCCTGAGTCTTCTGCCTCCATGGGCATTTGCACTCCTGTATACCCCCAAACACAAAATTACAAATAAATTCAATGTTTACATGAGTGTTCTGGAGTAACGGGGTTGTTCTCTTTGAATGCAGGTGGTATTAGCCAAGCACGTGTACGAGCAGGTTTTACAGACTCTGGACAACCTTGTGTACAGTGAAGATCTGAATAAGTTTGCAGCCAGCGCCGCATCCTCCCCCTGCCCTAACTCGCCCCTGCCCCCACTCAGTTCCTGTGGAGAACCTTCTGTGGAGAGGAAAGAGAATGGATTGTTCAGTCACTCGAGCTTCTCTAGCACCTCTCAGAAGTCCTTGTCTGTGAAGGAAGCCAAAGCCTTTACTCAGATTCAAGCCAACTTCTGCATATCGGAGCTGCAGGTTCAGCTGAGTGGGGACCTGACTTTGGGGGCCCAAGGGCTGGTGAGCCTAAAGTTTCAGGATTTTGAGGTGGAGTTCAGTAAAGACCATCCACAGACCTTGTCCATTCAGATTGCCCTGCGCTCGCTCCTCATGGAAGACTTGCTGGAGAAGAATCCAGATTCCAAGTATAAGAGCCTGATGGTGTCTCGAGGGGCTCCCAAGCCGTCTAGCTTACCACAGAAGGAGTATCTCTCCCAGTCCTGCCCTTCTGTGTCGAGTGTGGAGTATCCCGACATGCCCCGGTCTCTCCCTTCCCACATGGAGGAAGCTCCTAACGTCTTCCAGCTGTATCAAAGACCCATCTCCACGTCTCGGAAAAAGCAAAAAGAAGTGCAGGACAAGAGCTACCCCATGACCCCACCCCCTTCTCCCACAGTGGACGAGCCCAAGGTGCTTGCTGGGAAAAATAAATTTGACGATTCCTTGGTCCACATCAATATATTCTTGGTGGATAAAAAGCATCCAGAATTCTCTTCCAGTTACAATCGCATTAACCGGAGCATCGACGTTGACTTCAACTGCTTGGATGTGCTGATCACCCTGCAAACCTGGGTGGTGATTCTGGATTTTTTTGGGATTGGCTCCACTGCAGACAACCACGCCATGAAGGTGCCGCCTGAGGGCCCGCTACAGAATGTGAAGTCAGAGTCCAGTGCTTCCATGGAGTCTGAGCTCCAGGAGCCAGTGAACTCCAAGCTGGATCTCAAGGTATGGTTACACTCTGATGAGTTTGAATCATATCTAAATGGGAGCAGTTTCCATTTATCCTGGAAAAGAGCTCTTATTGGCTGAGGCCTGTGTAGTCTCCGTCTGGCTGTTGAGAAATATAGATTAGTGACGTCGTCGATGTCTTGGAAAGGGTTTTGTTGTAAACTCCATCTGGAGGCAGAGAGAATATGAAGTGAATATGCCATTTAAGCAGCTTGTCTTCCCCCTAGGCCATGTCATTCCAGGGAGTCCTTTTTTCTCTAGCTTGTTTCCTCGCCGTCCATCTTCTGTGACGATGTGAGGGGTGTGTGCAAAGCACCTAGCCAAGTGCATGGCAGCAGTTTGTACTCTGCAGTTTCTGTTCATGGCTTTCTTGCTAGTTTCTCACCCTCTCCCAGCACACGGAGTGCAGTGTGCAAAGTTAGATTGCCTGTTGGAATCCTGGCACGGAGTGCAGTGTGCAAAGTTAGATTGCCTGTTGGAATCCTGGCACGGAGTGCAGTGTGCAAAGTTAGATTGCCTGTTGGAATCCTGGCCCTTGTACTGTAACCTGCAGCTGTGTCCTTGAGTGCAGAGGGAGCCTCTTCCCCTTCAGGCGTTTTCACCAGTAAACTGGTGGCGTGCTACAGTGCCTGTATCGAGGGTGGTCCCAAGCATTAGATGAGATTAATGTGAGATACCACCCCCACCCCCCTCATAGTGTGTGGCACATAGTGAGTATCCATTGAATGGTTGTTGTTACAGTGTCTATCATGACATGGGTTGCCGTGTTTTCAACTCAGTCTTGACATTCAGATTATAAATATTAAAAAATAACCCATAAGGTAGCAGTGAAGACTAGATTTAAGGCGGTCTGCAGTGTATGCTGGAAGAGGAGGCAGGTCCACCGAGTTGACCGTGTGGCAATGCAGGCCTGTTGTAAGTTACAGGGCCTTCCCAGAGTTCTGGCACCTGAGCAGCAGCGGCTGCTCACTTGTGTGTGCCTTGGGAGGAAGGCCTTTATCTGCATGTCTTGGTGCATGCGGCCTTGCGTGCACTGTTGGGAGCAGCCAGTTAGAGAACTCTGTTACCCATGTCGGTGTTGTCCACCTGGGAGGAGAGATGGGGGTGCGGGGCTGGGTGGGGCACTTCTGCCTCTTGCTCAGTGGGAGGGTGAACCATACTACTTGGCTGCACTCTGAAGCCCTGGGACATTGGGCCTGAAAGTTGACTGGAAGTGGCAGTGTTCAGTCATCCTTTGGTTGCATTCGATATGTTATTCTCCTGGTGCCTGTGGGGATCTCCTCAGGAACCCTTCCCTGCTACGGTGAGATGTGCTGGGCTCCTGGGGACTTTGCACAGACTGCTGCTGTAGGAGCACAGAGCTGCATTTTTTGAGACAAGAGTTTTTGAACATTTTTACTCTTTTTTTTCTGAGACAAGGTTTCTCTGTGTAGCGCTTGGATGTCCTGGAACTTGCTCTGTAGACCAGGCTGGTCTCAAACTCACAGAGATCCGCCTGCCTCTGCCTCCCAAGTGCTGGGATTAAAGGCGTGCGCCACCAACGCCCAGTTTATGATGGATTTCTAATACATCACAGAGAAAATGAGTCGTGAACCTCAATATTCCCAACACTAAAATCCATCACATCACCTTTCTCCCCTTTCCCTCCCTGAAATCTTTTAAAGCAGAATCTAGGCTGGGTCAGATTGTCCGGTGGGTAGAGGTGTCTGCCGTCAAGCCTGGTGACTCACGTGGTAGGAGGAGAGAACTGACTCCTGAAAATTGTCCTCTGACCACCATGTCTGTACACATGCATGCTGTCTGTCACACACACACACACACACACACACACACACACACACACATAAATGTTAAAAAGTTAAAGCCAAGGCTATGTAGTGAAATTCTATCTCAAAAACCAAAGTAAAATTTAAAAAAATTCTAGATACCATTACACCCATTTGTTTCTAGAAAAATATGGATATTTTTCTTACAAAATCACAATCATTGTTCGTCTTGCTACATTAACAGATGTGCCTCGGTGTTACACAGCACCATCAGGCCACACCCAGATTTCCACACATGCCTTTTTCTGGATGGATTGTGGAGGCGTGAGTGATTGGAGAGGCTTCAGGCCTTTCTTTTGGTATCTGCAGTGCTAGGCTTTTCTTGAGAGGTGAATTTTCTCATCTACAGAACGAGAAGAAGTCAGTAAAACAACACATGAAAATCTGAGTCAGTGTCCACCGTGGGTCCCCGAGTTACATTTGCTGCCATGTTTCCTTAGTCTCCTGTGTGGAAAGTGAGTGTCTCTATTGTGTCTCCCCAGCCTTCTGTGCATCGACTTGCCAGGGAACCTGGGTTCGTGCTGGGGTACACTCCACATGTTAGTAGTTCTGCTTCCCACATGATTCCATCCTGCTTTGGGGATTGGAAGTTAGTGTGTGGTTTGATTTAGATTTAGATTTCTTGGAGAGGATATAGCACCACAGTGGCAAGTGCTTCCTGTCACTCTGAGGCAGGAGGCAGAGGACAGACAGCTGGTCCTTTCTCAGTGATGTCAAGGCACCATGTCATGAAGTGGGTTCAGGGGGCAACCGCTGGGTTCCTTCCAACAGAGCATCGCTTAAGGGTTTTATTTTCCCTTTTTATGGGACCTTGATGTCTTGAGATCCTTCTGTGGTCCCTGTCAGAGAAACGAGAACATCTCGGCTGAGGTCACTGCTCTGACGATGGTCCTTGTTCCACTTTCTCTGCCTTTTTTTATAGGTCCCTTCCCCCCTTTCTGCTCTCGTTTTCCTTCTCTCTTGAGTTTTGTACCCATCTGGCAACTCCTGAGGTCCGATTCTGTGAAGACTTGGAGGACAAAGGGGTGTGTGGTGAACATGTCCTTCCATCTCCCGATCCTGCTCTTCTGTCAGAGCCTGGCCCATAAGGCAGAGGAGCTGGGGACTGACCCAGCAAATTCTTAGACATACAGTGTTTTCAGTAGTTGGAATTACTTTAGTGTAGTGCAGCCTGTTAGAGAATTCTATTCTTGAGACAAGAGGACGATGTCCCTGTTCCCGTGAAGTCCCATTGCTGAATAGAGACATCTGTTAAATATGGGTTCAAAGACATTAGGCAGGATTCCAGGTCATTTTCATCATTTGCCTACATAGATTTTTATAGCTGAGACCTGACTTTACAGATCTGTGAGTCATTACAGAACTGTGCACTGCTAACAACTGATGCCAAGATGAGGACCCTTGCTTTATACTGAGTAACATTTCGCCACCATCAGAGGAATATAGGGAAGAGGCCACAGACTCTGAAATTGGAATTCCTTCCTCATGTGCTTGATTAGCAGATCTGCTCTGGGCACAGATGCAATTGGTATCATGAAAAGGTTTGAGCTGGCGAGGTGGCTCAGCAGGTGTAAGTGTCTGCTACCAAGCCCGACAATCTTGAGTTGGATTCCCAGAACCTATACAGTGGAAGGAGTGGAAGGAGAGATTCACTCCCACAGATTGTCCTCTGACCTCCAAACACATGTGCAAGTTCGCTCACTCGCTCACTCACTCACTCACTCACTCACTCACTCGATCGCTCACACACACACACACACACACACACACACACACACACACTGAATAAATAAAAGATTTATTTTCTCCTTTCCAACCTGTCCCCATTCCTGCCCGTTCTGTCCTGCTGTTTCCTGTTCCCCTCATTGACTACTTTTTGCTTTGTACCTTGTGTCCTAGGTTCATTCGCTTTCTCTTGTGCTGAGCAAGGCCACCAGTGAGCTGGCTAAAGCAAATGTGTCCAAATTAGTAGCACACGTGGAGATGATTGGTAAGTGGGGCAAGACCAAACATGCACAGTCTGGTATGTATTCCACCACCCAGCACAAAACTAGCTGTCCTCACATGCCAAGTAAGGGGTCTGTCTGTGGCTTGATGAGGGTATTGGTATGGCCATTGTTTACAGTGGTGGTCCCAAATCCTGGCTTTGGGATCAGTATTGTCTGGAAGGTACAGCTTCCTCCCTGCTCCTCTCCCATCTCATCCCAAGGGCCCTTAGCATCTATTTGTGTAGTGTGACCAGATAATTTTTTTTGTTTACATTGGGATACTTTGAGAGTGATATTAATAGTTAGATCTGGAGGACAGTCAGGTCAAAGGGCTGTCTGTTGAAAATGGGACAAGCTTAATCTGTTTGTGCTCTTAAGTAGGATTTTTCCAAGAGAGGGTGTGGTGTTCTGCAGCAGGGGAGAGTAGCAAAGCTGGCCTCTTTCTGGTGGGCTTTTGCAGGTTGGAATTCTTACTAGAACACCATGTTCTAAGTGATAGGGTTTATAAAGCATGAACTCAAACACTGTCCTTTATAAATATAAATAAACATATATTTATGTATAAATAGAAATAAATATAATATAAAAAATAAAATATAAATAAATATTTATATATATAAATGACTATATGCCTTTGAGTCCTTGGGGAGCTGATGTGACCTGCCAGAGTTGTATAGCTTAGTGATGATAGTGACAGCTGTGTAAAGTTGCGATTGCTTTTGTCATGAAGAAACAATAGTTGACTAGCTGGCCTGGAACCTCATGTAGACCAGGCTTCACTCCCAGGGATCCACCTGCCTCTGCCTCCTCAGGACTGGGATTACAGGCGTGCGCCAGTCACTGCACCCTGTAGGAAGGAACATTATATGCTCACGTTCTAGTACGTGTGCCCGCACCCATCTCCGTGCTCTCACCCCAGGGCTGTGCTCCTGCCAGCAGACTCATTTCCAATCTATGTCAGCACCGTCATCCCCACGCATCAGCCAATTTCCTTCTTTTATCAAGTCACTGCAAGCCCACACCGTGTTGCTTGAGCAGCTGACACAGACACTTCCTCCCTTGTTCTTTTATTCCTAGTACCATGAATAGACCTTGTGATGGGTATCCCACTTCTGACCAGTGGTCTGGTCTCCGAGGATCCTGCTTCTATCTATCTGCAGCTGCCTGTGTTTTGTTCTTCAAGTTGGCAATGCATTTAGTTTGCTTCCCTCCCCTTGTAGATGTGCCCTCTGGTATGCAGTGTTGCTGGCTTGTGCAGATTTGTTTGGACTTGTTCAACTCCTTTAGACTTTGGCATTGAAACCCTTAGAAATAGCACATCAAATGTTTTTCTGGTGTCTTGGCTTCTGGAAATTTACCTCTGACATTTAGTTTGATTAAAAAGTGGAAGTCTGAGGCATGTGCACGTCTGTTTTAATTCAAATGTAATAAACAATTTCAGAAGAGGTCCGTAATAACGTGTTCTAATTTTAACACTGTAGAGGGAGACCTGGCCTTGCAGGGAAGCATTGGGAGCCTGTCCCTGAGTGATCTCACGCCTCATGGAGACTTCTACAGAGAACGCTTCACCACAAGTGGAGAAGAGGCGCTCATCTTCCAGACTTTCAAGTAAAACATGCACGTCTTCTCTCTGGGCTCTGTCAGGGTACCTGCTGTGAAGCATCCGTCTTTTCTCTGGCTGTGTATCGCGATCACTGCTGTTTGGAGTCCTTTTAAATGTTGCTTTACATGTGCTTATTTTCTGTGTGTCTCCTACTGTGTGTGTGTGTGTGTGTGTGTGTGTAAGTGTGTGTGTGTGTGTGTGTAAGTGTGTGTAAGTGTGTGTGTGTGTGTGTGTGTAAGTCAGAGGACAACTTGCATAGTTGGTTCTCTCCTTCCACCATATAGGTCCTGGGGATGGAACCCAGGTTGCCAAGTTTGGCGGCAAGTGTTCGTCCATCGAACTGTCTTGCCATCTCACTGTTTAAAATTCTTATTGACTAAGCAGGTAAAAAAAAAAAAAAAAAAAAAAAAAAACCTTTATTTTTCTTAAGTAAAATTTAAGAAATCTAACTTGTGAGGAGTCCTGATTTATACTGAATTTTCTTGGAGAGATTTGCATTGGAGATTACTTATATATTGATGTGGACCAAGGAATTGTCAAATTTATTACTTATATAATCGTCCCAGTTATCAGAAGACCTGGGGTCTGTCAGCTCCTACCAACTTGGTGTGTGACATGAAGCAAGTCACTTAATCTCTGTGTGAGCAATCTCCACGCTTGGGTGTAGCCCCGAACATTCTTGCCTGATTCAGTCTGAGAGCCCTGCTCACACCGAGTAATTCGAGTGTGCTCTTTTTGCAAATAAGTATGACTTACATTGAGTTCCTGCTGGATTTTAGAAGGCATCTTTAGCTTTGTCTGCTTACTTTAAAGAACGGTTTTCCTGGATGAGGTTTTCAGCTTCTTTGAGAGGAATTAGAAAATGTGGTTGTGTAGCCCCGCCCATCCGTGTTATATACGGTTGAGGCTCCTGTGCAGTCCCCTTCCACTTTTAGTGGCTGAAAAAAGTGGTTCCCAAAAGCCACCTGTGGGCTGAGGATGTGATGTACTTCCTGGTAGAGTGCTGCTAGCTTGCGCAAAGCTCTGGATTTTCTCTCTAGTGAACTCCCTTAGCTCACTCTCCTGAGTCTGAGAACTTCCAACTGTGAGGTTGCCTCACAGAAGTCCAACTGTGAGAATTTGGACTTCGGAGTTTAGTTTGATTTGCTTATTTTATACACGGCAATGACATGGTTCCACAATAAACGAGATGATTAATATGAACCTTAATTCTTTACATGACACAAAAGTGCATTCCTTGGTAAACGTGACTGTGTCCTTTAGTCATTTCTTTCTTGGCCCCACAGTGCTCTGTTGGTCCTTGACTCTACACCTGACATTGGAGTCTACATTTCACTGATGTGAAAGGGCAACTCCTCTCTGTTTCTTAGATGCCCCATTCCCCGGAAGCAAGCTCTGCTGCTTCCATTTCTCCCAAACCACTCTTGTCACAGTGTCTGCCAGAAGCCGCTGCAGCTCTTAGGCAGGGACGGAAGGGGCCGTGCAAGGGCTTCGGTGTTTTCCAGAGTGAGCTTTGTGTGTTTCGGTGTAGTGAGCTTTGTGCTCAGTGGTGCCCACTGTTGGTAGCCCTGGGTGTCATACCACCCTTTTTGTTGATGTCCTTATTATTAAATTATTAACAGGCTTGTTTTGGGGATTTTCATTTTAATAGCTAAAGCTTTTTGGAGGGGAAACCCTTAAATCAACCTTAGTTTTCTTCTAATACTCAAATCTTGCTGATATCTGAGTCCTATTTTTGTCCTAATTTCCAGATATGGGCAGCCAGACCCTCTGCTCCAGAGAGAGCATGATATTCGTGTGAGCCTGCAGATGGCCTCTGTGCAGTATGTGCACACGCAGCGCTTTCAGGCGGAGGTGGTGGCCTTCATTCAGCACTTCACTCAGCTGCAAGATGTCTTAGGGCGCCAGCGAGCTGCTCTCGAGGGTCAGACGGTGGGTAGCATCATGTCTCTAAGTTGCCTTTTCAATTTGACTGAGCCATAGAACTTTAAAACAATTATTTTCCGTTACTGATAATAGATTTTTTTCATACAGTATATTCTGATTATGCTTTCCCCGCTCCCAGCTCCTCCCAGTCTCTTTCCATCTGGATCCACATCCTTTCTGTCTATGGTTAAGAAACAGACATCTAAAGAATAACAGTAAAATAGAGTAAAACGATGTGGTGTTTGTGGTTGTGTATTTGCATGCGAGCTTGCTTATGTGGGCACATATAGGCATCAGAAGTTAACATCAGGGGCTGGAGAGATGGCTTAGCAGTTAAGATCACTGGCTGCTTTTCCCCAAGGTCCCGAGTTCAATTCTCAGCAACCACATGGTGGCTCACAACCATCTGTAATGAGATCTGGTGCCCTTTTCTGGCCTGCAGGTATACATGGAGGCAGAACACTGTATACATAATAAATAAATAAAAATCTTTAAAAAAAATAAAGAAGTTGATATCACTTCATATTAAGTTTTTGAGACAGGGCTTCTCACTGAACCAGAAGCTAGCTGTTTCAGTTAGCATGGCTGGCCAGCAAGTCATCACTAGAATTCTCCTGTCTCTGCTCCCTGGCCCTGGGGTTACAGTCATGTACTGCCATGATAAAATACCCTAACACAAAGCATTGTAGGGGAGAAAAGGGTTTATTTAGCCCATATTCCTGGTTACAGTTCATCACAAAAGGGAAGTCACAGTGGCTGGAGTTTTTGGCAACTGCTCACATCACTTCTGTAGTCAAGAGCAGAGAGAAATGGAGGCACGAAGGCTCACTTGCTTGCTTGGTCAGCTTCATTTCTCCATTCTACAACAGCTCAGGACCCTGTCCTTAGGGAATATTGGGCTTGGTTCTCCCTCATCAGTTTAGATGTTCCTCGCCACCCCAGACATCGCCACAGGGCATCCCAATGTAGATGTTCCCTCCCTGAGAATCTGTCCCCATGTGATTCTAGGTTGTTACAGTTAAGTCTGATCAGCACATGTAGGTTCTGGAGATCCAAACTCATGTCCTCGTGGCTTACAAGCCAACACTGGTACCCGTTAAGCTATCTCCACAGTCCTGCTCATTAGAATTTTAAGAATTGTTTTATGATTTTTAATTAGGCAAATGGTGTGTATGTGTGTGGGTAGGTGCACATGAATGTATCCATTGCCCTGGGAACCAGAGTTTCAGGTGGCCGTGAGCTGCCCATTGTGGTGCTGGGAAAGGAACTCCTGGCAGAGCAATGTTTCTGTCTTCTGAGCCATCTCTAGTCCATGATCAGTGGAACCTCTAAGCCTCCAGGGATACAACCTAGGCCATCTCACTGAGAAAAGGAGAGGTATTTTCTGCTGAATGTGTGGTCTGTGTGGCAGGTTGACCCTCATCTCTAAGTCAGACTTTAAGTTCCTTTGAAATTTAGCTTTCGGTGTCTGTGAAAATAATAGAAGAGATTTATGGTCGACACTTTTTTCAGGACTTTATTGGGTCACTTCTGGAAACTTGGATGATTTTCCAAATGGCCGAAACTGTCTTAGACATTTCAGTTCATGGCACTGTTGGTGATGGAGTTCAGGGTCTTGCACAGCTGGGTACCTCTGCTACCCTTGAGCTATATTCCCCAGACCTTGGTTGGTGAGGCAGTGTCTTGCTACATAATCCAGGCTGGTTTTGAACTCACTGTGTTGATGAGGCTGGTCTCAAACTTGTGACTCACCTGCTGTAGCTCAACGGTTGGAATTATAGGCGTGTGTTACCTTGCCTAGATATTCCTCCTATGCATTTTTAAATGTTATAACGTATTTTATTTTTTCCTTTGAGAATTTTAAACATGTATACAATGCATTTTTATATTATAACTACCTCTACTTCTTCCCCCAAGTACCTCTCATGCTTCTAAAAAGTGCCCTTCCCAACTTAATGTCTTCCTCTTGTTTTGAATAACCCACTGAGTTCAGTTAGCTGCTCATGTACACATGGATGTGGGGGCCCTGCTGGAGCATGGGTAACCCACCAGTGGCTACACCTCCAAAGAAAAATGGCTCCCAGTGTATTTTAGTGTGATGACAGCAACAGGAAAACAAGGCTAATATAATACATTATGGTTATTCCTAGAGAAATAGTGTGTTCAGGCATGTAAAGTATTGGCTCAGATTTAAAGGTATTTGCACAAATGCCTGGTATGCTGAGTTTGACTCAAAAAATCCATGGTGAAGGTGGAAGAGAGAACCAACTCCAGTAGTCCCTTGACTTTTACATAGGTACCACAGACTGCATGCATGTACTAACCCAACACATGGGTACACACACACCCCAACACACGGGGGCACACACACACACACACACACACACACACACACACACACACACACACACACAAATTAAATAAATTAAAAATTTAAAGAGAGTTGTTTGGTGGGTGTAGCTCAGTGACAGAGCACTAAGTTCAATCCCCAGAATCCCCTCCCCGACACAACCTCTTTGTACTGTAAAGTTTTATTTTTCTCTTAAAAGCAACTGGGCAGTGGTGGTGGCACATGCCTTTAATCCCGGCACTTGGGAGGCAGAGGCAGGCAGATCTCTGTGAGTTCGATACCAGCCAGGTCTACAAGAGCTAGTTCCAGGACAGCCTCCAAAGCCATAGAGAAAGCCTGTCTCAAAAAACAAACAAACAAAAAAACAAAAAAACAGGGCAGGGGGTGGGCTAGAAAGATAGCTCAGTGGTTAAGAGCACTGGCTGTTCTTGCAGAGGACCTAGGTTTTTGGTTCCCAGAACCTAGATGGTGGTTACCAACTGTCTGTAACTCCAGTTCCAGGGAATCTGATACCCTGTTCTACCTTCCTAGATACCAGGCACTCATATAGTGTATGTATGTACATTCAGGCACACACTTGTATGCATAAAATACATTGCCAGGTGTGGTGGCACATACTTGTAATCCTAGCATTTGGGAGGCAGAGGCAGACGGAGCTCTGAGATTGTGGCCAGTGTGGTCTACAGATGGAGTTCCAGGACATCCAGGGCTGTGGAGAAACTCTGTCTTAAACAAAAACAAAAACAAAACAAAACAACCAACCAAAGAAACAAACATCAAACCAACCAAACAAATTTAAAAGCAGCACAGGCCTGGTGAGAGTCCTTGTTACAAATCAGGTGTCCTATAATCTTATGTATTTTCTTCATCATCCTTGTGAAAGTATTTTCCCATTTCTCGTATGATTTATTCTCTAATCTGTGGTTATTTATTAGTATGAAATTAATTTCCAAGTATTTGGGAACTTTCCATTATCATTTTGTTTTTGGTTCTAATTTCCTCTGGTGGCCACCAATAAACTATTGTGTTCTTTAATTGCTGTGTAAGTTTATAAGAGTTTTTGGACCTTGTGGAGGTTTGATTATAAAATTGGAGAACTGACTGAGTCTCTGGTGCTTTTCTTTCTTACCAGGTGAGGGACCAGGCGCAGCGATGCTCCAGGGTTCTTCTGGATATTGAGGCTGGTGCTCCTGTGCTTCTCATCCCAGAAAGTTCCAGATCAAATAATCTGATAGTAGCAAATCTGGGCAAGTTGAAAGTGAAGAACAAGTTTCTCTTTGCGGGCTTTCCCGGGACCTTTTTACAGGATAAGGTGAGCCCTCAGCATCTGCAGATGTTGAGTTTATCTTGAATTTGAATGTGAACTGAAAAGTCCCCAGTCTGCAGCTCAGGGGCTGCTTTGTTAACTTCTGAGGTCCTGTGGCTGGGAAATTTCTTTACCATCTTATTGGCATTTCATCTAACCTTTTCAGCTGAAATAGTGTGAAGTTGTAACCCTCACTAAGTGCCATTAACTTGTTTGAGGCAACAGCCCTGTGGAACCGGGTCTTCCACTGGGTGCAGCGCTCTCTACAAGCATAAATCATTTCTGGGGGGCAAGGTCACTCACTGGATCAAAACACTTGCCACCCAGCCTGACCACCTGAATTCAGTCCCTGGAACCCATAGTAGAAGGAGAGAAATAACCCCCAAAAGTTGTTTTCTGATGACACACACACACACACACACACACACACACACACACACACACACATCACTACATAATGACATTGGATGAGCCCTTTTCCTGATTTTTTACCTGAAGACACTTACAAATGTCTTAGTGGTAAGATGTTAGATTGTGCCCTGCTCCAGGTTTAAATGACCTGGACATTTGTTTCTTACCGTGTTTGGAGTACTCGATTGGAGGTCTGCCAACATTTTCACTCGACATTTGGGAAAGCTAGGACTCTGAGCATGAACAGCAGGAAGCTCCAAAGCTGAGTGTCCTTGGAGACACTCTGATGATCCCCTCACTGGCTTCTGCCTCCCAGGAGCCAGAGTGACATTTCTTTCTTTCTTTCCTTCTTTCTTTCTTTCTTTCTCTTTCTCTCTCTCTCTCTCTCTCTCTCTCTCTCTCTCTCTCTCTCTCTCTTTCTTTCTTTCTTTCTTTCTTTCTTTCTATTTTTTTTCCCCCCAAGACCGGGTTTCTCTGTGTAGCTTTGGAGCCTAACCTGGCACTCGCTCTGGAGACCAGGCTGGCATCGAACTCACAGAGATCAGCCTGCCTCTGCCTCCTGAGTGCTGGGATTAAAGGCGTGTGCCACCAATGCCCGGCCTGAGTGACATTTCTAAACAGCGGAGATGCCATTCACAGGGTATGCTTTCACCACTCCTTGCTCTCCAGGCCCTCATGCCCTGTGCTTATTCAGTACAAACTCATTTTTAGTGTGTGGGAAAAGCACCCACTGGAATTCACACCAGCTGTGCCTGTTTGACATCCCAGCAGCTAATAATGTGTAGGGAAAGAGAGGCATCGAGGAGATGGGTGTAAGATTTGATTGCAAGCTCGTCAGAACAACAAAAATAGCAGTGAGTAGCTGATGCTTGTTGAGTACCATTACATGCCATTTGATGCTAAATCCTTTACATATAAAAAGAAACCCTGTTTCTTATAGCATTTCTGATACCAGCTGTGTGTGGGCTTCCCTACGCCCTCCATTTTTACCTTTGTAGAAAGCTGTTGACTGAGTTCAAAATAAGTCAGTCATGGTGCAACTACCTGAAGTTAGCTAGCCTGGGCTAACCACAGGTCTAGGTGACTCACAATTCTGACTAACCAGTGACAGATTAGGGGTGTCCACAGTTCCCCCTCAGGTCCAGTAAGTTGCTGTAAGAACTCATAGAGCTCTGGGGAAACACATTTGCTGGCTCCTTTACAGAGGGCGGAGGGAAAGGCTCAGCTGAAGAATCACATGCATAGGTGTGTAGGGCGAGGGTGTGGCAGGGTTAGGAGCACAAGGACCTTTCTTGAATGCATTGGCACGTGCCCCCCTTCTCTTACGTATGTATCTAGCAGCTTGTAATGGTGAGCCCATTGTGTATGCTGTATTGGTGAGCTCCTTGGCCCTTCATGACAGCACTTTTTCTCTAGTCCTTCTCCCTCTGTGGAGGTCTAGGCGTATGACAGAAAGTTCCAGGAGTCACATAGTGAGTTCTTGGGAATGTGTTCTCAATACATCTTTATTTTGAGGTCACACTGAATGTTTGAGGCATGGGGTACCTGTAATCAGAAATCTAGTTTAGTAGCACTGTTTCGTGTCTCTCTCCTTCCCAAAAAAGGAATGGGCTCATTCTTTCTGTCAGATGTGTCTGTGTATGAGCAGACAGGTGTGCTCTAAAGTTAGCCATGGACGAAGAATTGTCAACTGTTTCAAGATGTTTTTACAAAAAGATTCCTATTTTTGTTAAGCCAAATAACAACACAAATTATAGCATTTTAATGACAAAAACTTGTCTGTTTTTGTTTTTGAGGATTTGAATTTAGGTGTCAGTGTAATGATAAGTCTTTACTCCATCTGCCCGAGCCCCGCTGCCACGTGGGTGCCCAAAATAACACACAGAGTCTTATATTATTTACAATGCTGTTGACCAATGACTAGGATTTCTTATCTGCTAGCTCAGTCTTCTTTTCCTTTCTTTCTTCTTTCTTTCTTTTTTTTTAGATTTATTTATTTATTATGTATACAGTGTTCTGCCTACATGTGCCCCTACAGGCCAGAAGAGGGCACCAGACTACATTACAGATGGTTGGGACCCACCGTGTGGTTGCTGGGAATTGAACTAGCTCAGTCTCAATTATCATAAATATATATATTTTATAAGACTTATCTTATTCAAGATGCCTTCCACTGGCATAGTGTCTCCGTAGAAAAGAGAGCAGGAGGAAGAGAAAGTGAGTGACTTCCTCTTTGTCCCTGCTTATATTCTGAGTCTTCCTGCTATGCCACTTCCTGCCTGGATCACAAGACTTTACAACATTTCCCAGAATCCTCCTCAACTCCTAATCCCACCCATCTTGCTTCCCTATTGACCAACAGTACTTTATTTATCAACCAATAAGA